ATGCTTTTGGATGCGTTTTTGGTCATAAAAATGGTCTTCCTCTACTCGGATCTGGGTGTCAATTTTTTTCTACACTTTTCGGTGTATTCTGTGCATGAAGATGCAATAAAATCGTCTGCCTAAGAAAAATTGAATTTTTTTGGGAACTTTTTTATGCTTTTGGATGCGTTTTTGGTCATAAAAATGGTCTTCCTCTACTCGGATCTGGGTGTCAATTTTTTTCTACACTTTTCGGTGTATTCTGTGCATGAAGATGCAATAAAATCGTCTGCCTAAGAAAAATTGAATTTTTTTGGGAACTTTTTTATGCTTTTGGATGCGTTTTTGGTCATAAAAATGGTCTTCCTCTACTCGGATCTGGGTGTCAATTTTTTTCTACACTTTTCGGTGTATTCTGTGCATGAAGATGCAATAAAATCGTCTGCCTAAGAAAAATTGAATTTTTTTGGGAACTTTTTTATGCTTTTGGATGCGTTTTTGGTCATAAAAATGGTCTTCCTCTACTCGGATCTGGGTGTCAATTTTTTTCTACACTTTTCGGTGTATTCTGTGCATGAAGATGCAATAAAATCGTCTGCCTAAGAAAAATTGAATTTTTTTGGGAACTTTTTTATGCTTTTGGATGCGTTTTTGGTCATAAAAATGGTCTTCCTCTACTCGGATCTGGGTGTCAATTTTTTTCTACACTTTTCGGTGTATTCTGTGCATGAAGATGCAATAAAATCGTCTGCCTAAGAAAAATTGAATTTTTTTGGGAACTTTTTTATGCTTTTGGATGCGTTTTTGGTCATAAAAATGGTCTTCCTCTACTCGGATCTGGGTGTCAATTTTTTTCTACACTTTTCGGTGTATTCTGTGCATGAAGATGCAATAAAATCGTCTGCCTAAGAAAAATTGAATTTTTTTGGGAACTTTTTTATGCTTTTGGATGCGTTTTTGGTCATAAAAATGGTCTTCCTCTACTCGGATCTGGGTGTCAATTTTTTTCTACACTTTTCGGTGTATTCTGTGCATGAAGATGCAATAAAATCGTCTGCCTAAGAAAAATTGAATTTTTTTGGGAACTTTTTTATGCTTTTGGATGCGTTTTTGGTCATAAAAATGGTCTTCCTCTACTCGGATCTGGGTGTCAATTTTTTTCTACACTTTTCGGTGTATTCTGTGCATGAAGATGCAATAAAATCGTCTGCCTAAGAAAAATTGAATTTTTTTGGGAACTTTTTTATGCTTTTGGATGCGTTTTTGGTCATAAAAATGGTCTTCCTCTACTCGGATCTGGGTGTCAATTTTTTTCTACACTTTTCGGTGTATTCTGTGCATGAAGATGCAATAAAATCGTCTGCCTAAGAAAAATTGAATTTTTTTGGGAACTTTTTTATGCTTTTGGATGCGTTTTTGGTCATAAAAATGGTCTTCCTCTACTCGGATCTGGGTGTCAATTTTTTTCTACACTTTTCGGTGTATTCTGTGCATGAAGATGCAATAAAATCGTCTGCCTAAGAAAAATTGAATTTTTTTGGGAACTTTTTTATGCTTTTGGATGCGTTTTTGGTCATAAAAATGGTCTTCCTCTACTCGGATCTGGGTGTCAATTTTTTTCTACACTTTTCGGTGTATTCTGTGCATGAAGATGCAATAAAATCGTCTGCCTAAGAAAAATTGAATTTTTTTGGGAACTTTTTTATGCTTTTGGATGCGTTTTTGGTC